CGGAGGTAGGAATGCCCAACCTCCGAGGAGTAGCTGGTGGGTTTGAACCGCCAGCCTTCTGGTTAGCAGGCAAGTGTCTTAGCCACTATGCTACCAGAGCTCCTAGTATTACATTAGAGACCCCTAATTTAGTGACTGTAACCAAGGCAAAAATCATTCCCCCGGGATTGTCAAGTTTTGTTTGAACTGATTCCAGCTAATGTGTAAAGCGGAGTAACTCTTAGTAGGAGTTGGCTAAACTCCTTGTTCTGTTTTCTCATTTTATCCCTCAGTAACCCTGGGAGGGGTCAGCACCACTTTATAGATGAGGAAGCCACAATTCAGAAAATAGCAGTTTGCCCAGTGTCACGTAGTTCATTGTGGGTGAAAATGGAGTTTGATCTGCATGTCAGATTCTTCAACACTTGTAGTCCTGCCTCGAGGTCCCATGCTCCAAAGAGATCTAAGGGACCTAGAGCTTTTACCTTTGCCTTTTCTTCTTTTCTTTTTTTAAGGAGCATTTCAAATTGGTACTGGTCAAAATGCAAATCTGGTGTGAACTTTAGAATGGTCTCCAGTCTCCGATTAGGGGCGAGGGGTGGGGCAGCAGTGGACACCCTTTACCCGGGTCACGGCCTGCAGATGTGTAGGGCGTATTACAGGTTCTGGGTTTGTCCCCGGTGAAGAAGGTCTTATTTCTGGTATTCGACGTCCCCTCAGAGCAGCAGTGGTGAGCTGTCATCCCGGGGGTTTTGGAAGCCTTGCTGTGTTCCTTTCTGCTTCCCTGTATGCTTCCTGGTGGGTTAGAAGCTTGGCCCTGAAGTGTTAGGAGGCCTTGAAGTGCTTTTCTCGTGTGTGAAGTGGGCTGTGATGTTGACACACCTTCTTGACTGGAATATTTCTAACTTGTGAATGAAGGGGGAAGTACACATACATATATACAGAAGAGTTCACTATCCCAAGCACACAACACAGTTCAGTGAACTTTTACAAACTGAACACACCCATGTCCCCCGCACTCGGGTCAAGAGCTATGACGTGAGCACCATACAGAGCCCTGTGGTGTCCTCTGCAGTGACTAGGATATTTTCGTTCTCCTGGGTACATGTCCCATTGTTCCTCTTATGTGTCCTCCTGACCGGGGCTTTAACATTATCTTCAGAGTTTAGTTTTTGTTTTTTGGGGTTTTTTTGCACACACACACAACACACAAACTTCACCGTAACTTCTCTCTTCCTCTTTTCCTAATCTCACCTCTTGATCAAACTGCTTCCATTGAACCAAAGTGTTCTGTACAGTGTTCTTTGTGGCTACAAGTCATAACTTGAGGGAATGTGAGGCTGGAATAGAAAATGCAGTTGTGGGGTAGTAGTTAAAAACATTCCTTGGAATTTTTTAATCTATGAAAATATAGTTATTGTACTCAATTACCTGTCAAGAGGTAAGCTCCTTGTGAGGAAGTGGTGATAGGAGCAGCTTCCTTGTTCTCAGAGCAGTGGTCAGGTTTTAAACATCTGTGAACTGGATGGTGCCCAGCTACCATTACTGAACATTTTTACCAGAGTCTAGAGAATAGTCCTGATCAAAAGGGGGGAAATGCAGAACAGAAATATCACATGCTCATGCAGTCCACAGTTTCTAGAGCCATCAAGGTTCATGAACCCCTGAAACTATTGCCCTCAGATAATCTTTAAACTTTAAACAAAAACATCCTTTGAGTCTTCTTAAAACCAAACAATAGTTTTACTTCACTGGTCAAGAAAGTCTGCCTGGAGCACAGTGCTCATTTGCGTTCTGTCTTCATGGGATCAAAGTGACCACAACAACTTGAAAGATTAGGTAAGAAATGCAGAGAATGGTGAGTACAACTCAGAGAAGGAAGATGAGAAGGGCTGCACAACTCGAAGAATATGATCACCATCCCTGAGTTGTATGTGTGGAAATAGTGTGTTTAACCTGTGAAAATATAGTGGAACTGGTGTATGTCCTCCCATGGACATTCTCAACAACAAAAAAAGGGAAAGAAAAATTAATCACACAACCAAAGAAGTCAAGAATATCCCTACTGCTTTAAGGAAGAAAAAAAAAAAAAGTAAAAACTGTGCACTTCCATCTAAAACCATAGCAGATTAAATCCAGTGTTTGTAATACAGACTCATCCATGTATAGCGTGGCGTGGGTCTCCTGCACTGCTTGACCTTAGACTCAATTTATGCCCTTTGCTGTTTTGTAGATGTAAACATTTGAATAAAATTTAATGTTTGAGTATATTTTGAATTACGTCACCACCGTTTCAGGGCTCGCATGTGCTGATGCTCTGGCTGGAGCCATTCCGTTGAAAGACCTGGTCCCTGATGCCCAGGGTTGGCAGATGCACTGGGGCTCCTGTGTTCAACCTCCAGCGGAATCCGCCTTGTTCAAAACCCTAGAGTAACGAGCTTTGGAGGCAGGCACAGCAGCACCGTGGCTGTCTGGTGAAGCCATATTTTAGATAGTAGAATTTTCCAGATAACCAATTTTTATCATTCATGTGCTTAACATTACCTTGAAGAGAGAAAAAAAAAAAAAAACTTAGGAAAATAATTCCGTATTTCCCTGCCTTCTTGGGGGAGAAAAGCATTCTAAACAGCAAATAATATTTTGTCTGGAGAAAACAATAGCTCTAAATTGGTGCCAAATTTGGGAGTTGACCCAGAATTTCCTTTATGGTGCTGCTTTTTAGGGAAATTTACGTCCATGTTAGTAAAGCTGACAAAGTGAAATGTGCACCTGTGGTAACTCCCGTATTGTGACAGCTGCCTGTTCTGTGAGGTTATTGACCATAAATCAAACTGGCCTGTGCTAAGCAGTTGCCTGACTCTGTTCTGATGCCTAAATGGGCTGCAGTCACCTCCTTGTCAGCCCGTCTTCTAAGAAGTCTTTAGAGTCAGAATGCACCTCACCAAGGAACCCTGATGGCATGGTGGTGAAGGGCTTGGCTGCTCCGTGGGAAACAGACATGGCAGCATGCTTCCATAAAGATCGACAGCCTAGGAAACTCTGGGGGGCGGTTCCACTCCCTCCTCTAGGGGTACTGAGAGTTGGTGTCAACTCGACAGGAGTGAGTTTGGTGTAGGGTATTTTTGTTTTTGTTTTGTTTTTTATAACCTCGCTGTTTCAGGAGTTCTTGTTGACATTTAAAAAAAACTCGTGTATAAGCCTACAGAGTTTGGGGTTTTTTGTTGGTTACTTATTTCTATGAGAGGATGATGCTTTATAAGGTAATTCGTGGGCCACATTTCTCTTCAAGGCCTTATTTTTGGTATTGTAGCAGAATCCTAGACCAGCAGCTTTAAAGTGGCACCTTTACTTTCATGCTGTTGTGACTCCTCTTTGACGCTTGTACAGTGATGGTGACAGGGGGTCCTCCTGGAGCTGCGTCTGTAACCACATCTCGGCTGGTGATTGTCTTGGCCTCCGACCACAGCTGTCCATGCGCCCACGACACTCTGTCAGTGTGCTGCTCTAACAGGGCTCGCTGGCTGGGCTCACCTTCCTCGCTATCCTTGCCTGCAGTCAGAATAACTCTTCTGGCTACAACACAAGTCAGGATCTTTGAAATGAGGATATTATAGTCGTGAATGTATTTCACACATACTATTTTGTATCATCTTGGTATTTAGTGAAATAAAGTGATTTTTTAAAAGGTGAAAACGATAACATAGGAAAAAAAAAAGGTGTTTCTTGCTAAGCTATGAGTATGTGTGTGACTTGGGGAATTCGAAGCCAGCTGTGAGTGCACCGTGCGCCTTACTAGTTCTCGCCGGATCTGCCATCTTACCTTTCCCACGTAAACCCGGGGGCTGCCACCCATGAGGCCAGAGGGGGTCGAGCCTCACAGAAATGTCTGAGCACAGTGGGAGGGTTGGGACAGCCTCGCTCAGAGGTGAGGTACCCAGACAGACCATCGTTACTGCAGGTCGCTTCTGGGGTGCCCCGTCAGTGTCGCCTCCCTGCATGGGGGCGCCCCTCTTTCGGAGGGAAAGCACACAGGCTGCACGGCTCAGGAGCTGTCCGGTCCTCCCTGAGCTGTGGGTCCGCCGCCGCTGTGCTGGTTACACACGTTGCCGTTTCCTCTCACCTGCCCTTTGCCTGTAGGTTTCTTTTCTGTTCTGCTCCTTAGGTTATTACACACAGTACAATGTGAAGGGCTCGTCGGCCGGGGTGGCTGTCGCAGGAAGTGGTGTGGGGCAGAGGCTAGAGAGAAGACTCGTTTGGGATCTGAGAATCTGGGGACTCCTTAGCTGCACGAGGTGACCTCTTGTGGCCCCGGGTGGTTAATCGGTTCACTTTTCTAGGCCTTTTTCACATCATTAGGGTTGGGTGTTTCAGTGCAGGGATCTCCAGGTTTCTGACCAGCTGGTGCTGCCCGTGTGGCTCCAGCACCGTGTGGCTTGAACACGGCGTGGCCCTTGGGGGTCACAGAGGTGAGTAGGACTTGCCCTGCCTCTTCATTGGAACAGCTTCCCAGACAGGACTGTGGGTGTGCACCCACACGGGAGCGTTGTAGAGCTGTTGTGTGGTTCACCTGTACTTGTGATCACCTGGAGAGGCTCGTAGGGAACCAGCCTCCTGATGGGGTCACAGTGGATTGTGCAGACTGGCTTGAAGGTCTCCAGAGAAGCTGATGGTGCCCTCTGCTCTCCTCTGCTGCTGGACCTCTCTCCCAGCCACAGGACTGGTTCATCTCTGTCAGATTCCCCTCACTCTCCTGTCTGGTCCTGTCCCTGTCATTCTCCACCCGCTCTCCTGCTGAGGGTGTATACTAGGTGTTTGGGAGCTTAAACTTGTTACTTTCAGAGACGGTATCTTTTTAATTTTAACTCTCAGAGTTTAAATAATTCTGGTGCTTTGAAGTTACAAGAAGTTTTCCACCCATGTAACAAAAGACAAAACGAAGATGACATGATTGTCTCTGTTGCCCCCCTTTTAAAAGTGAAAAGGAAGTGATGGATATCTTTCTTGTGTTCCTTCCTTTTCAGGTCTTGAATGAAGAATGTGATCAGAACTGGTACAAGGCGGAGCTGAATGGAAAAGACGGCTTCATCCCCAAGAATTACATAGAGATGAAGCCGCACCCGTGAGTCGGGCTGGGGTTGCTGGTCTCCCGGGGCCGACCGGCCTGCTTCTTTCAGATCATTTGTGTGACAGTTGAGATCACTGGGATGGGTGTCCCAGGCAAGGAGCAGAGCCTATTTGGTCTGGCAGGTTAGCGATAGTCCGCGCTCTGGATGGGTAGTAGCTGTCGGTGTCCGATCGTCACAGCATAAGCCACACTCGCTCAAGCCCGTCGTTCTCCCTGAGACCTTGGGGACTGGTGTGCTTCATAATTCTGCGTTCAGAGTTACGGAAAGGGGAAACTGCAGAACGCCCCACGCTTCGCACAGCCGGCAGGTTCTGAGCCAGCACCCTCTAATCAAAGAGACGGCTGTTTCTGCAGCAGGCCATCTCCGTGGTCCCGCTGGTGGCGTGACGAGAGACTCACCTCATGTCAGGTCACGTTAGCCAGCAGATGAGTTGTGGGCAAACTTTCTGCTTCCGAGCTGCATGGATTTCAGAATTAGGGGCAAGGGCTTGTCCCTTTGAAGACCAAAAGCCTTGGTCGTCAAGTCGATTCTGACTCAGAGCGAGCCTGCAGCCCTGGAGAAAGGGAACTGGGTCCCTGTCTTCGGCAGGCGGTCTTGCGAGTTGTGTGGCTGCGCTGTCCTCCAGCTGGTGGGGGGGGGCGCGCGGCGTGCAGCACACTCGGCAGCCCCGCCGGCAGCTTCGCTCCGCCCTCACCTTGACTTTCCGAGCGCCCGCTGGCTACAGGCGAGCCTGGTGCTGGGCAGACATACCAAGTGGCACGCTTGGGCCTAGATAGCCGCTGTTCCTCCGTGCCTTCATGACATGCCCCTGTGTGTTGTGCCTGCCGTGTTGTCCATTGGTGTCTGCACGTCAGACAGTGCCTTAAGCATCTTTGTGTGCCCAGGGCACAGTGCTTGGCCTATAGTTGGTCCTCAGCCACTGTTCGTTACGATCACTGTCCTGGCCTCCACCCAGCGTCTGGCTCACAGGAGACAAACAGCGCTCCCTGCTCAAGGCTGCTGAGCAGACTCATACCGATCTGAAGGTGACGTAGTGGGCCTGGGACCGTTGCAGACCTGTCCTCCTCCCTCCCCTCTTCCTTAGCCCTGCGCCCAGCTCAGTTGCGTCGTACCTCATGGTACATAATCAGAGCGACAGCGTTTAGTCCCCAAAGTAGAACGTCACCAGGACACAGAAGGCGGCTTCCCGCAGTCTGCTTCGTTTGACACAGTGTGGTCGTGAGGCTCTGGATGACTTGCCCACCTCCTGCCCCAGGCCCCCGTTGTCACTGCTCTTACGCGTACCTGCCCTTTCTCTCCCCCCTCGTCTTGGCGCAGAGCTCTTCCCTACGTGGGATGCTTCTGGGCATTCTCCAGAGTGCCTGCTCACCAGCTGATGCAGCTCACGGCCTAGAACCAGGGGGCCGTCGAGAGCACTCCCTTACTCTTTGTCCTGCACATCAGAAAGCGTCCAGCAGGAGTGCAGTGCCAGTCATTTAGGAAGCCAGCTTTCGCTGTGGCAGACTCGCCATGGAGAAAATGCAGAGCATCCTCCCCCAGCCCTCTCAGAGGGGCCGTGCTAGCAGCTGCGCGTGAGCCGGGCCCTGCCTCACGGACCACGTCTGCTCTGTGGAGGTGCTTTACCTGCAGTACAGTAAACGCGACTGAGAAGCCTTGCCTCCCGCTGTCTGCGGGTCCTGGACTCCTGGTCAGGAGGTGCTCGGGAAGCGCTTACTGAATCATGGGAGGGGCTGGCCGGGCGGTGAGAGTGATAGTTTGTAGTTAAGTTATGGATTAATGAAGTTCTCATGGGATTAGTTGAAGCTCTTTGAACCTGTAACCAGGAAGCCTTAGCCTGGCGAGAAGGCTCCGGGTTATCCTGCAGTTTGGTCCTGAGAGGGTGTCTGCACCACGAAGAGCCTGGGAGAAGCCCAGGGAAACTTCTCTCTCCCCGTAAGCAGAATCAGACCCTGTTAATGGCTCGGTGTGATGTGTCGTGATTTCCGGGGTGAAAAACAGGCTAATTTCCAGGGTATGTAATTCTAGTTTTGGTTTGGAGCTTGTACTGTCTTGTATCTTCCTGTGAGTCTGCCAAACCACCCCCCGGCCCAGCCCAGCCCAGCCCTCCTTAAAAGGTTGTAGGTTCCTTGGAGAATTTGTCTTCTGCTTCTGTAATGAGTGACCAGTTGACAGCGAGTCACTTCTGACTCATTCTACCAGGCCTTTCTTCTGAGTCATCTGGAGGTGACTCCAACCTGCACCCTGAGTTGGCAGCTGAGCATGGTAACCAATCGCAGCACCCCGGGGCCCGCAGCTGAGTGTGGTAACCGATTGCAGCACCCCAGGGCTCCTGCAAAAGAACTTTGTTCAATCAAATGGGCTCCAGGCTAATCTTCTATTTCTTGATCTGGTACCTGTGACACAGGTGTTTACTTTGTAAAAGGTGCAATACTTTCTCTGCGTGTAAGGTACACTTCGCTACAGTTTATTCTTTTTTAAGAATGAAAATAAGGTGGTGTTCACTTCAAGCTGGAGGAAGGAAGCCCTACGACCTGTGCAGCACAGCTGCGTATCTGCGGCCAGGGAAGGTCTGCAGACCGACACCTGTCCCTGCCACTCGGCTGCCTCGGGAGCTGAAGGGACGGGTCATGCTCTGCATTCTCACGTCGCGCACCTCCAGGTTACCTGTCTGACGTCTTCCTGTCCGGGAGGAAGGCAAGAGACTGTTGAGCAGCTGCCCCTCTGCCCTGGTGCTCCATGGGGAGCGGGGTCGGGGGACCTGCCGTGTGGACACATGGTACATCCAGACAACACCTCCCTGTGCGTACAGTACCTGCAAGCACATTCTAAACTGGAAAGCTCCAGAAAGAAACATGGGAAATGTCCGTATAGCCTCCGCCCTGCTAAGTGTCCTTGTGTTTGGAGATGCATCTCCTGTTCACACATCACCCTCGTGTGGCCCACTAGTGCTTTGAGGGAGCAGGAGGATGCATCGCCCCAGCTCCTGTCACTGTCAGCAGCCCGGTCCAAGAATGCCAAGTGAGAAAGACCCAGGCCGACTTAGAAATGTTTAAGGGCTTCGAGGGGCAGTTTCTGAGTGTGTCCTTCTAGCAACTCACACCCTCCTGCTTCGATTTTAGTGCCATATGTTGTTTTAGAGACACCCTGCAGTGCGGTTGCTTACACGTGAGACAGATGTGTAAGTTAGACTCTGACAGCTGTCACGGACCATTTCCTATCTGATGCTGCAGTTGGTACAGTTAATGGATGTTAGTTACCACATAAGGATACTGGCTGTAAACAACATTTTTCCTTTGTAAAATGATGGAACATTCGAGCAAAAATGTCTCTTTGAAGACTAAGGTGTGCCTGACCCAAGCCTCATATGCATGGAGCTCTGGTGGTGCAGTGCCTAAGGCATTTGACTGCTAACCAGAAGTTTGGTGGTTCAAACCCACCAGCCACTCCACGGAAGGAAGATAGGCCAGTCTGCTTCTGTAGTGACTTAACATCTTGGAAATCCAGTGGGAGCTGCTGTGAGTTGGAATTGACTTGATGACAGTGAGTTCATTTGCCTGTGAAAGCTGGACCCTGAAGACAAGGAAGAGCTGATGGCTTTGAGTTGTGGTGTTGGTGAAGAATACTGAAAACACTGTGGACTGCCGAAGAATGAACAAATCTGTCCCGAAGAAGTGCAGCCATAATGCGTCTTGGAAGCGAGAATGGCCAGACTTCATCTCCCCTGCTCTGGTCGTGTTGTCAGAAGGGACTAGTCGTGCTTGGTGAGGTAGGGGGTCAGCAACAAAGGGAAAGACCCCTCAGCGAGATGAATTGACCCAGTGGCTGTGATGATGGGCTCAGGTGCAGCAAGGACTGTGTGGATGGCACGGGACCAGGCAGCGTTTCGTTCTGTTGTACATGAGGTCATTACGAGTCAGAGTGGACTCAGCGGCACCTCTAACAACAACAGAACATTCCAGACCATTGGAAGAGAGAGACTTGTTTTCAGAATTCCTTTGTCCCAATAAGTAATGGTTTTCATCGGAAGTAGTAGGCACGTAGAAAGACCTACATGCAAAACACCTACCCTAGGGAGATGCACCCCTTAAATCAGTCAGCCATGAGGCGTCAGAAGGGTAGCATTCACACAGAGGGAAGGTTGGACAGACAGGAATGCATAGATCAGAATGACACAGGGAGGGTTAGTCCCAGGAAGGGGAGGGGAGGAGAGTTTTTTGTGGTGGGGGATGGTAATCGGGCTGTAAGATCCAATGTGCGGGAACTGTTGAATGTAAAACAAATCTGATTTGTAAATTTGCACCCAAAGCACAATTTAAAAAAAAAAACAATAAAAAGAAAAAAAAAAAGAAAAGGTAGTAAGTAGCAGGCACTCCGCCTGCCTGACCCTGAGGCCAAAAGAACTAGATGATGCCCAGCCAGCCCCTCAGCCACTCAGAAAGGGATCACAGTAGGAGATCCTGGAGTGAGAGACCAGTGTGGAACAAAACTCATGAACAAGACCAGGCTCACTGGTCTGCTGGAGACCGGCAGACCCCTGAGAGCGTAGCCCTGAGACGCCCTTCAGGCCTGGAATTGAACTCGGGCCTGTGGCTTCCAGGCAGACAATAGGCAAGTATGTAAGACGAGCATTACAGCAGGTGGGTCCACTCCTCAGCACAGTCAGTCATGGGAGCTAGCTCAGAGGGCAGGGATGCCTGGGAAAGAAGGACACAGGAAAAGGGTACTTCAGGGAGGAAGGGGGAGGAAGCTGTTACATTGTGGGGATTGTAGTCAGTGTTATGAAACAAAATGTATATGCACTGCTGTATGGAAAATGAATTCATCCATAAAATTTCACCCAAATCACACACAAAAAAAAATAGGCACTGGGAGCTGTCCTCCTCTTCTCCCTGTTAAGCAGCTGGCCAATTGCTCCCATGGTTTATGGCGAATTCGCCCTTTTTTATGGCCTAGGTGAATTGGCCTTGGGAGCAAAGCATGTGTAACTTGCTTTAAGGGCAAACTCTCTAGTGTTCCAAGTGCTGCTTCGGGTGGGCGTCATGTATGTTCTGATGGCCCCTGAGAACCAGACTCGCCCTGAGTCTTGACCACAAAGAAGTGGTGCTGGGGAGAAGCCCGGCTTCGTGAACAGTGGAGGCTGGTAGCAGAAGTAGCTCTGTCTCCTGGGCCTTCCGGTGGCCTGCCCCCTTGCTCTCTTGTTGCCTTACTCCCCGTGCACAGAAGCTGCAGCCTTACCCAGAGGCTGCAAACGAGGGCCTGCCCTGCCCTGGGCCCCTCGTCCGGGGCTCAGAATCGAGAGCCCTGGGGCTTTCCCCGGTGGTTTTCTGATGAGTCAGTGGGGAGCCCGAGACCTTGGGCCCTCGGAGGCCCGTTTCAAGTGTCTTCCCCTGCAGCCACAGTGGCCTACAGTAGTGCCTTGATGAGTCACTCTGCCAAGTGGCCTCGGTGAAGTCACATGAAGGGAGGGAGAGCGCCTCTGCAACCAAGTCGACGTGTCGAGACTGGAGGGCACACGGCAGGCACCTTCCGCCACCCAGGGTCTGACAGCCCGTCTCTCTGGGGCAGCAGATGTTGACCGGCTTGTCTTCCTTCCTTAGGTGGTTTTTTGGCAAAATCCCCCGAGCGAAGGCAGAAGAGATGCTTAGCAAACAACGGCATGACGGGGCCTTCCTGATCCGAGAGAGTGAGAGTGCGCCTGGTGACTTCTCCCTCTCTGTCAAGTAAGTCCTTCAGCCTCGCTGCCTGGAAGCCCCTGGGACTGACCTCAGCGTGGAGCCAGCCGCAGGTGTCTGGCTATATGCACCAGAGGTTAGGCTAAACAGGACTTTACAAACCAGACATTTCCCATGAAAACCCTCAGCTCTGCTCCCCTTAAAAATTAGTTCTGCAAAACTCAAAATCATTTAAAAAAAAAAAAAAGGGCCAGGTGTGCTGGTCTAATGGAGCCTGCTGGAACTTCCTGAGACTATGACCCCTAGCTGCCCTTCAGGTCTGGAATTGAACCCACTCCTGTGGCTTCCAGCCAAACAAACGACAGTCATATGAGGTGAACATTTATATTAGGTAGATACACTCCTTGGAGAGATCAATCATGGGAGAATAGAAGGGCTGTGTATGCACAGGGAGACAGCTCGGGGGGCAGGAGTGCATGGAGGAATGGACACAGGGAAGAGGTAACTATGGGGAGGAAGTGGGAGGGGAGCTGTTGCATTGTGGGAAATTGCAGTCAATGTCATGAGACAGTATATGTGAGCTGCTGTACGGAAGATGAATTTGCTCTGCAAACTTTCACCCAAATCACAATAAAAATTAACTAAATAAATAAATTAGTTCTGGCAGCACTGGATTTAGCATCCCAAGTGGAACCTGTCTATAGGAGCCAGCGGCAGAGCCCCTCAGACAGCATGTGCTCGCCAGTTTTCCATAATCCCCACCATTCCCTAGTGCCTCATGGGCACATTCAAGCACTCTCCCAGTCTGGGGTTCTGTGAAGCTGCCTTTGACAGAGTAATTGATCACCATTTCAGCTGCCTTTGCCACATACCTCGTCTGCATTTACCAGCTTCATCACAAGCTTTTCCCATTAACTTCATAAAGGTTATCACATGGTTTTTGTTGTTTTTCTTTCCCTGGTAGTAAATGACATGTGAAGGGAAGCAGGGAATGGGGAGACAAGAGTTTGCACTGGGAATCACAGAGAAGATTTCAGGGGGTGTTTCTGGTTTGATTTAAAGATTATCTCTGAGCAGTAGTTCAGGGGTTCATCCAGCTCCTTGGCTCCAGAAAGTTTGGATTCTTTTCTGCATGTTCCCCCTTTTGATCAGGATTCTTCTGTAGACCCTGTGAGCAATGGCTATTTGATAGGTTTGACTAAATACATGGCAAGTAAGGGTCTAGAGAAGACCATCTTGGCGTGGATTTGTGGCTTACCATCTTTACTGTCCATTCCCTTGCATTTCATCATCTGTTTTCCTTAGGTTTTATTACTGACCAGAGTATAAATTAGATACCATAGAACGAGGAATGTAAAGACTTCGTCACCAAAAAGTGGCCAGAACTCCTGTGGCAGTTGGTGTTCAGTTGTGTGACAGACCAGCTGACTAGATTGTGGGCTGCCTTGTCTGATCGCTGCTCATTATGGCACGTGCTCACATCACAGACCCTTCCTTCCGTTTGGTCAGACAGTAACTGTAGAGTTAATGGGTGTGTTGTTTTAGAAATGCAATTTGAGCAGATGTCATGATGCCTTCAGGAGTACAAACACCTCTGTCGAGAATCAGCAGTTTCAGATATGTCTTCACTGTGCGATGTTTTTGATTCTGGGACTAAAACATTCTGGCAGGTCACACGCCTGCTATCAGGGACACTGCACCTCTTTTAGAGGCTGTCTGCCTTGCAGCAGTGGGAGTGGGCTTCTGCGGGGCCAGCAGCGACACTTGACTGTGTCCCGCTTTCTCGTACAACGCTCTCACATCCACGGTTCTCCTTCCATGAAATACCGATACCCCTGTGCCCGGTTCTCGGGGCTTCCTTGACACTCGGTGCTGCCACCTGTTGGTGAGATTTTAAGAAGCATATTTTTGTTTAAGTTTCAAGACTGAAGGCAAGGAGACCCTCATTCATTTAGCAGATATTTATAGAGTGTAGCCCAACTCCACGGCACATAACAACAACAACAAGCCTCCCTTTTGAGGCTCAGCACTGTCATGGGCACTGAGGGCTCGGCAGTGAAGGGGACAGGCATAGCCCTCATAGAGCCTACATTCTGGCCAACTCCTGCTGGTTTTGCTGGCCAGTGTGTATGAGACTGTGGCCAGACAGCTCGGAAGCCTTTCTTGGATGTGTTTACTGTCCCGGTATGTTCTTTTGTTCTGAGACTTTTCCCGATCAATAGAATGAAAATCCCAGAATGGTAACTGGCTTTGGATTTTTGAATGATGCTGTTAAAGGAGAACGGTTGGGAGGGTTCCCAGAACCCCCTCTTCTCATCTCACTTCCTGTGTGTCACCTCTTTTACCCTTGAAATGGCCCATGTGGTTTTGGCTTGAAAAGAAAGTCACATTTCTTGCCTTTGGTAAAATTCCCTTTTATTTGTCACAGTGTATGGTCCCGTGTGGAACATGCATGGATTAGGGCCTTCTCTCCATCTTACAGACAACCCCAGAACTAGACAGACAGAAGGACCCTGTCGCCTTCCTGGTGAGGCTTCTGGTCCTGACTCTGCAGCCAGGGAGCCCTGTTGCTCTCTGGTCCCAGGGCCCTCAGACCAGGAGGAACGCCCTCACTCAGGGCGCCACCTGTGTGGGCTGGCAACCCCACAACAGCAGTAGAACCCTTTGACCTGCTGGCCTCTGTGACCGCCTGTCACCCACGCCTTCCCAGGTTCGGCAATGACGTGCAGCACTTCAAGGTGCTCCGAGATGGGGCCGGCAAGTACTTCCTCTGGGTGGTGAAGTTCAACTCCCTGAACGAGCTGGTGGATTACCACAGGTCAACCTCCGTCTCCAGGAACCAGCAGATATTCCTGCGGGACATAGAGCAGGTGCCACAGGTAAGCCTCCTCAGAGAGAGAGCTCGGAACAGTCTGCAGCAGTCACGCAGAGCTCCCTTAGCCTTTCAAGGAACTGTTTCTGGTTCTTGACCCAAACTCAGTCTTGGAAAAGTTACCCTTACTTCCTACTAAAGTTTGTCATTTAAAATAAACGGTTTGGCATTTTTAGTGCTCGGTAAGTTCCCCTGACCTCCGTTCTGCCTTTTCCACAGGCTTGCGCCTCTGAGGCAGTGTTGCTCATCCCACACTTAGGGAGACGGTCTTGAACACACTCTCTGAAATTCTCTATCCCTGGAAACAAGTGATAGGAACTCACACATTTTCACATCCTGGGATCATAAATGAAACCCAGGCTGCCATTTCTGAAGGTCACATACACACACTCAGGAAGGTGGTGGTGGGGTTGGCCACCAGCCATGAGCACTGGTGAAAGATGGCACTCAGCCCACTTACAGTGAACCAAGAATATGCGAGAATAAGTGGGGGATGGGGGGCATTCCAGGAGATACAAGGGATTCCACACACAGTTATTTGACCAGCACCAGCCCCACTCTGACACTCTGAGGCACCAGCCACACGTGGGAATGCCTTGGGCACCACGTGCCCCCCCGGTACCATGTGTTCCCCCCCCTTCAGTCACTACATGTCCCGTCCCAGGCAGTGCGTGTCCCCCCTCAGTCACTACATGTCCCCTCCCAGGCACCGCATGTCCCCCCTCAGGCACTACATGTCCCTCCTAGGCACCACATGTCCCCTCCACTCAGGCACTACGTCTCCATATGTCCCCCTTGGGTACCATGTGTCCCCCCTCAGTCACTACATGTCCCCTCCCAGGCACCGTGTGTCCCCCCTCAGGCACCATGTGTCCCCCCTCAGTCACTACATGTCCCCTCCCAGGCACCACGTGTCCCCCCTCGGGCACCATGTGTCCCCCCTCAGTCACTACATGTCTTCCCCCCCCATGCACCATGTGTCCCCCCTTGGGCACCACGTGACCCCCCCCCCCTTTCTCTTTTGCAGCAGCCAACGTATGTCCAGGCCCTGTTTGACTTTGACCCCCAGGAGGATGGGGAGCTGGGGTTCCGGCGGGGAGACTTCATCCACGTCATGGATAACTCAGACCCCAACTGGTGGAAGGGCTCCTGCCACGGGCAGACCGGCATGTTCCCGCGCAACTACGTCACCCCCGTGAACCGGAACGTCTAGGAAGCAAACCAAGATTATTTAAAGAGAGTCAAAAGTTTAAACATGTGCAGAAGAGCCCACAAGCTGCCCTCCCAGCAGCCTGTGAGGAGCGCAGACACCCGGCGGGTCCCCTGGTGGCCCTCTCACTTTGGTCGGAACTGGGGGTTGGGGGGTGGGGGTTGGATATAAAAATGCCAAAACGCACCTATAAATTAACAACAGAGTTTTTATGACAAATTTTCACCACTGCTCCTCCATCCCCGTCTTTGTCCTTTTTTCCATCCTTTTTCCCTTCTGCCCATCAGTGCATGACGCCTCCTGCCACGTATAGTCCCAGCTGATGCCAATCATAACAGACCCCGGGCGGCGGGTATTTTCTCTATGCAAAACGTCTGACGTAGCTGAGCCGACGGCAAGAACACCTGTGTCTGTCCTTGGGGGACACAGGACGGGAGCGGCATGGGGACCGCGCAGTCTGCTGGAGGCGGACGAGCCCCCCGCCCCATCTAGTCTGAGTCGGAAGTCGGGTGGGGTGAGAGGAGGGCATGTGCCACCCGCCTGCTCCCCGAGGGTCGGACCGCGCCCGGCACCTTTGTCCCCTTGTTTTCCCCTCCACGTGGCGTGACTGAGCATGTTTTTTTCTAGTGCCTTTTTCTTATTTCAAGGGTTGCTTCTGAGTGGTGTTTTCTAGATTTTTTTTTTTTATTGGTTTTGTTTTAAATAGTACAGTCCAGAGCTTTTCAGCTGATTTGTCTCCTCCTCCGTGTAAGTGTTTCTTGGGGGGGGGTGGCAGGTGGGGGGAGACAAGTAGCGGGGTGGGGCGTGGGCGCTCAGCTGCCTGTTAGGAGCCAGGAGTGTTTCAAGGTTCAGCTTTAACACTGGTGAGCCCTTCGCAGCTAAGGGAGCAGGGTGCTCACGGGATCTGGAGGGACTGATAGGGTCTGGCTGGAAAGGGGGTCAGAACCATTGGTCTTGTGGTCTCAGCTGTGCCCTGCTCCTTCTGAGCCACAGAAGGCCCCAGATGCCAATCCCGGGAGCCAGTAAGTTTCCAAACCCAGGAAAGAATATACTGTTTGGGTTTAAACCTTTGCTTTTTCATTGTAATGGGCTATCCCCTGTTCCCACGCTAGGGTAGGAAACGGGAGTATTCGCTTTCCGTTTTTAGCTCTTATAAACTCTGCCTGTGGCGTTCACCTTCCGTGTCACCCAACCTGCCCAGGTGAGCAGGAGCCAGTGTTCGAGAGGCAGCTAGGTTGTCTGTCCTGCCTCCTTTCACAGTGGGCTGTGTCTGTGCCACCTCATTGCCTCCCCTGCCCACCCCCCACCCCTGAAAAGTCAGTGTCCCTGGGAAGGAGAGGTTGACAGTGTCAGGAGCCAAGTTCATTGCAAAGCTCTCTGTCTACCCACCCTGTATCGACTTTCTTTGCCTCATAACGTGTCCCCACCCAGTCCCCCTTCTCAACAAAAAAAGGGGCCGCTTACATTTCTCTTCCCCGCGGGTGGCCAACCTCTGGGCTTGGACCCCGGTGGGGGCGCTGGACGGGACCTCGGCACTCAGCCAGCTGCAGCCCCCTTCCCGAGCCTCCTGCTCCCTCTCGCCCTCTGCCTCCCTCCCCGCTGATGATACAAGGAATCTGGCATTCTACGCCCGGACCATTTGATTGTTTTAGTTTGGAATTGGTGTATATCATAAAGCCTTGCTGAACTAAGTTTTGTGTGTATATATTTAAAAAAAAAATCAATGTTTAAATAAAATGACCTATGTACTTAATCCTTTAACTCTGCGGATAGCGTTTGGTAGGTAGTGATTAACTGTGAATAATAAAAGACAACAAATTCTTCACTCTGTATCTTTTCTTTTTTAAGCGGAAAACAGGTTTCAGATCAGGAAGATGACACTTGTTCACCTTTAACCAGCTTACATCCTCCTTCGGAAGTACACGGACATCCCAGGAGTGATGCCCATGCTTGACTGCTCCTCCGAATTCCTGGGGCGCTTGTCAACCATAGATGCCCAGACCCCACCCTCAGGCACTTGGGAGATTGGGTTGCAGGCCAAACGTGTGCTGGGTGTTTCTGGCTTCAATACTGTAGGCCACACTCCAGAAACGTAGGCCAAACTGTAGGCCAAACGTCTGAACGAGAAACTTCATGAGGCCGACAAGTATGATGGGCCTCTCCAGTGCGCCATTAGGGCGTAGTAGACACCCTACCTGTGAGCTCTGGTGATGCAGTGGTTAGGTGCTCAGGTGCTACCCAGAAGGTTGGCAGTTCAGACTCAGCCACAGAAGAAACACCTGATGATCTGCTGCCGTGAAGATTACAGGCCAGAAACCCTGTTGGTCAGGGCTGCTGTCGCACGGGGTCGCTGTGTGTTGGAATTGAGCTTGGCATCTGACAGCAGACCGTGGGGGGGGGGGGAGCAAAAGCACAGAATTTCGTGATGAGGCAGTTTTAATAAGTGAAGAAGGTAAAACAGGCTTGTTTGCTCAGTAGCTGCTTTTAGGGTGAGACCAGTCCTAGCCAGCCAAGGAGGATTTGTCTAGCGATTGAACTAAAGTTAAAGCCACAGGGTTCTCGCTTGTCCTGGTCTGTTTTCAAATGCACGTTAGTGGGCCACCACCTTTGTGGCCACACCACTCGGGCAGGGCATTGTTCATCTGCAGCCCCAGGTCTGAGCAGAAGCTGTACGTGATCTGTGACTGCTGGCCTTGCGGTCCACTGAGGCTAGCTCTTCTGGAAGGGAGCACAGGGTTCTAGAGTGGGGCCAGTGGCTGTCAGTTAGTACCACTGAGGCTGCTGGTTCAAGTTGTCCCCTCTGATTGCTTTGGAACAGCAGCGGAATGAACAGAGAAACTGCCACTTGGGGTGAATGTCGGGTTTGTCCCTTGCATCTGGGGAGCAGGCCTTTGGGGAGATGGCGTCGTCCCAGACTCTCCTCACACTGGTGGAGGCCGGCGGACACTCCAGTAGACTACCACCTCCTGTCTGCTGCACGGGCTTCAGGGTTCTGTTGCATTTGATGTGAACGTAGAGGTGGGGCCTGGGCTCACTGTGGAGTGTGGGCATTGTGGGCATGTCCTCCTGGCTCACGGGCCTTTGTACTCACGTGTGACCAGGAGCTTGTAACAGGTCACCCTCTGGGGTGTTACGGAGGAGCCAGTACTCAAGGTTGCTGCTGAGGCTCCCTGGCAGCCACGGGTCGGGACTGCTTACAGGGCTTCTGTGCTTGGAAGGACAAGGCAGGCAGCCCCAGGAGTCTGCCGGTCTGACACTTAACGCCCCTTGTCCTGCCTGCCACGTAGCTCATGTCAGAACATTCTGCTCTATGGAAAATGAAAGTGGAATGACACTGTACATACACACCTTGGAAATAATCTTAACTCATTTCTGGCTGTGGTCGAGTCTAAACCAACTTATGGCGACCCCATATGACAGAGTAGAAGTGTCCCATAGGTTTCTCTAACCTGTAATCTTTTTTATTTTATGTGATTTGGGTGAAAGTTTACAGAGCAAATTCATCTTCCCTATAGCAGTTCACATACACTGTCTCATGACATTGACTGTAATCTCCCACAATGCAACAGCTCTCTGCCACTTCCTCCCCAATAGTTACCTCTTCCTTGTGTCCTTCCCTCCCAAGCATTCCTCCCCTCCCCCCCAGCTGTCTCCGGGCACACACAGCCCTTCCATTCTCCCATGGGTTGATCTCTCCAAGGAGTGTACCTCCCTGATGTAAATGTTCAGCTCATATGCCTGTCTTTTGTTTGGCTGGGAGCCACAAGTGTGGATTCAATTCCAGACCTGAAGGGCAGCTAGGGGCCATAGTCTCAGGGGTTTCACCAGGCTCTATCAGACCAGCAAACCTGGTCCCTTTTTGTTTGTTTGTTTCACGATTTTGAGTTTTTGTTCCACATTGTTCTCCCACTCTACCCACGGTCTTCTACACAGATTCCCCTCCGAGTGGTTGACAGTGGTACAGGCTGTAATCTTTATAGGTGCAGTTTACCAGATCTTTGCCTGTAAAGTCACTGGCTGGGTTTGAACCATCAACCTTTCCATTAGCACCCAAGCACTTAATCCTTTGTGCCACCAGGTTCCTTTTTAATTCCAAAACACTATTTACAGGTGTGGGAGCTCTGGTAGCATAGTGGCTAAGGCATTTGACTGCTAACCAGAAGGCTGGAGGTTCAAACCCACCAGCCACTCCTCGGAAGGAAGATGAGGCAATCTATTTCCGTAGTGATACTGCCTCAGAAACCCAAAGAGGGGTCACTATGAGTTGGGTCCGACTCGATGGCGCATAACAACAACAACAACATTTACAGGTGTAAATACCAGCTCCTCAGATCTGTGTCAAATTCTGAAGAATAAAGAAACGTGCTGATTAACTTGAGTAGATTCACTTAACCAAACCCACCGACATCGAGTCAATTCTGACTCATAGTATTCCTATAGGACAGAGTAGAACTGCCCCATAGGATTTCCAAGGCTTTGGATCTTTATAGAGGCAGACTGCCATATCTTTCTCCCACAGAGCAGTTGGTTTCAAACCACCAACTTTTTAGTTACCAGCCAAGTACTTTAACCACTGTGTGCCACCAGATCTCCTTGTCTGTTCATTTAGGGGCTTCTTAAACTTCGTCTCATGAATTATATCCCCCTCCAGCAAGCACCTGAGGCAACTAGTACCCTATCAAGGTGGCTGCCATCAGAATCCGAAATTCCTTCCCACCTTGGTCTTCCCCTAAGTTGTATTTCAGGTTATTTATCACAAAAGTCCCAATAAAGTTCCGTGCCCCAAACATTAGATGGCAGTGATATTGATTAACCCAGTTAGTGCTCAGAACATTTCCAACGCTACTTTTAAAACTGGTGAAACCTCTTGTTTACAGCGTATTCAATACCATAGTCCAGCCTGGTTGTTCAGTGGTTAAGTGCTTAGCTGCTAATCCAGAGGTCAGTGGTTCAAACCCAAGAGCCACTCCACAAGAGAAGGATATCTGCTTCCATAAAGATGAGATGACAGCCTTGGAAACCTTCTAGGATCACTATGAGTCAGAATCGACTCCACGGCAGTGGGTTTGGTTTGAGCGTTGCTTCTGTGAAGATTATCAGCCTAAGGAAACCCTGTGGGCAGTTCCACTCTGTCCGTTAGTGTCACTGTGAGTCAGAATCAACGGAAACGGGTTTGGTTTTGGTTTATGTATAGTCTCAACCCAAAAGAAATGACTGCAACCATCTTCCAGACCTAATTGTGGCCCGTCCATAACCAGCACTGATCTTCAGTCTCCACGGTCTCTTTATTGTCCCATCCTCTTGTCAGATACGCCCTACACTGGGGTTTA